TGTATTGTAATTTTTAATTTCATTTCATTATTTCATATATGAAAAATTGTATACATTAAAATTCATATAAAATAAAATTTTAAGATTTTCTTTCACTTTTTGTCTATTAAAATTTTCATTACTTTTTCAAATCTTTATCTTTTAAGAAAATATACCTCTCATGGATTGACCCATCCTACAACACGGCCTAGGCTCATTTCAGGTTAGACCTCTAAAGTATCTAAGAGATAGCAAGTACAACACGACCCAATTTACACCTCTAGATGGCAATTTAATCCATCCCCATAGGGCTCCAGCCCACCCTGCCCCAATCAAGACTGAGCAAGTTTTATACTATTGGTCAGTTTCATGGTGACTTTCAGGGAAACCCAAAATTTTGGTGACCAGGGAAAAAGTAGGAATGGTATTTATCCACCCCGCCTCAAACTAGTCCCAACTAAGAGTGTGTCTTTAATAAATATTATATTATGTTATAATTCTTGCTAGGTTTTGTAAAAAAAAAATCTGCAAGTACGACCAGGGCTGGCATGCAAATTTGGGGATTCTTGATCTCCATGGAGATGGGGTTGAGATTTCTATAGCCCGATTGGGGTACACGTTGGAAATGGGGCATGCAAAACCCAGTCGCACCCCACCCCGTTGCCATTCTTAATGAATTTTGGGTTAGTGTTGATCCTAATCTTGACATATTGGCATTACAACATTGAAATATTTATGTTTATATAGGTTCGGTTGAGTATAGGTTTACTATAAATGGGACGGGTTGACTTTACCTCTTTATTTAATCCAGTTCGGTCATATTTGGGTTGAATCTGCTTCTAAGCTGGTTTGAATTGAACAAAAACCATACTAATTTGTCCATAAATATCCCTATACCCATCAATATTACAAAGTAGAGAGATGAACACAATGAGTAGCCCTTTTAGGCCCTACTTTGCATGGTTTTTCTCTATCTAGAAAATTCCTATATTTTCATTAATCAAAATGAAAATATCATGTCAATTAGGGGCAGTACAATGAAAATTAGGACGTTTTTTTCACTAGTAGAAATGAATGTGAGTGCAAATGAGGAAGAGTCCATATTCAAGTTCAATTTTGCATTGGGTTTTACTTTACATTGCTTTCCATATTTTGTATTACTTCATTTGTACTACAAGACAAAAAAAAAAGGTAAATGCTAAACACGAATAAATTAGAATTTGCATTCAACTAATTGTATTCCCATGCTTTTACACAAGTGAAAGTGAAATTGCACTACAAACAAAACACGCTAAAGGATCAACGATGGCAATTGGCATCACTATTTTGGAGAGAAGCCCATTTTTGAAAACATAACACAACACAATCCATAATCTAGAAGACCAGCTCTACTCTCCTATAACCTACAAGGTTTATTGTTCATGTGTTGGAAGTCTTGGTAAAAGAATCTCTTGAAGGCCTCCATGTGTGTTACCTGCAGCCTCAAGATGGTGATGAATCCATCTCTTTCCGGGCCATCAGGAATGATAAAAGCCTTCCCATCAAAATCAAACATTCCAGTAGGGCACATGTATATGGGCTTTCCCCACCCATAATTTACTCCAATTGATGGGCTTTCCCCATCAAAATCTCTTGAAGGCCTCCATTTTTTTTATTATTAAATATAATTTATTTCAATTAAGCTACTGCATATGGCACTCATCACAGACAAATGTGATGAGATTGCTTCATGAATCAATGTTGACAAGGCCTGGGCCGAAATAGAGGGTCGCCTTGCCAGATGCCTCGATAAGGGGTAATATATCTTTCCCCATTATGTGCCATTCATATGAAACATGAACTTAACTAAGGAGAGACAACTATAATTGAGTCTTTGCCGATGCTGATTTAAGCCCAGTTTCCTCAAAGTAGCTAAAATGAAAATCCGTAGGCTTCGTTGAGGTCAATTTTAACAGTCATGTAAAAGGATTTCCTTCTTGTTTTAGAGTTTGGAAAGTGGTAAGTTTCATGGGCTATTTCCGCATTGCCTAATATCATCTTGTTTGAAGAAAAACACATTGATTCTCATTTAACATCTTGCCCAACACGTATTGCAAACTATGGATCAAACACTTTGGCAAAGATATGATATGTGAGATTTGTTCAAGCTACTTGAATTTAGGAATCAGTACGCTGCTTTGCTTGTGAAGTTTACACTCTCAAGAACATCAGCTGTATCAAACCAGTCTTGAATTGTCTTTATAACCAAGTCTCTAATGATCAACTAGAATCGTTGATAAAATAAGCCCAAAAGAACCATTAGGCTTAGGTGCCATATTATACTCCCTCGTATTTTCAAAAATAGCTGAGCAAATTTCTTCAATACTCAATGGATTATCCTCATCATTCAACATTGCCAATGGGCTACCTGTTATGGGCCCGGGCATAGGATCTCGTCACGGGGCGGTTTGTGGGGGAAACTCCTTGCCTTCCCTTGCCCTTCCCTTTGCGAATTGACCCTATGATGGCGAATTGAGGGGGTTGATTTGTTCAAGAGACCACCCGAACTCTCCTCACTCTTTTCTTGACTGGAAAACTGAATGCTTTATTTTAATTTGTGGCTCATTAAATACGAAATTACAGAAGGAAATTCCTAATTAAACTCAAACTCCAACTTGAACTCAAACTACTAATTACCTACTCCTAATGGTAACACAATTCTTACTTAAGATAGGGATAAGGATAAGATAAGATAAGGGATAAGAGATAAGGAAAGCTGGAGGCGAGTTCTCTTGACGTGTCTAGATAAGGGTGGGCCCACCCCTATGAGCTGTCGTGTGGGCCCGCTCTGTTGCTACTGCCAAGTGCGTGCGCGCGGCTCGTGGTGCCGCCGCCACGCGGTGCGTGCATGCGGTGCCACTGCCACGCAGTGTGTGTGTGTGGTGCCGCTGTGCGCGGTGCCATTGCCATGTAGTGCGTGCGCGTGGCGCCGCTGCGCACGGTGCCGCTGTTGCGCAGTGCGCGTGGCTCATGGTGCCACTGCCGTGCGGTGCCGGTCGTGTAAGCGGTGCTGCCTCTGCTGCTGTCGTGTGGTGCGGGTGCTCATAACATCACTCCCCTCCTAGACTACAAGCTTGTCCTCAAGCTCGAGGTCTGGATAGGCGTTGTGGAGATCGGTCCCGGGGATCCAGGTGGCCTCTGCTGAAGGTAGTCCTTCCCATTCTACTAAAACCTCGAAGGTGCCTTTGTTGATGCGTGACCGGACAAGAGCTCTAGGATGGAGGATGGGTCTACCGTCCTTGAGAGGGGGTAGAGGAGGCACTTGCATTGGAGGAGTCCCTGTAAAAGGCTTTAGTAGGGATACATGGAAGACGTCATGGATTCTGCTATGCTCTGGCAGTTCAAGTTGATAGGCAACCTTCCCGATCTGTCGAAGGACCTTGAAGGGCCCATAAAACCTTGGGGTTAGCTTTTGGGGGCCCCGTCGCCTGAGGAAGAGCTGCCGGTAGGGTTGGAGCTTTAACCAAACGAACTGTCCTGGCTGGAAGGTGACCTCACGGTGGTGTTGATCGTAGGATATCTTCATGTGTGCCTGTGCCTGCTGTAAACGTAAGGAGACTTCAGCCAGTAGGGCATCGCGGTCTTGGAGGCTGCGGTCTACTTCTTCCAATCGTGTTGATCCCGGTTCGTAGGAGAGAAAACGAGGAGGGTCACGCCCATACACCACGCGGAAGGGAGTCATGCCAAGGGACAAGTGGTAGGATGTGTTATAGTAGTATTCGGCCCAAGGAAGGCAGTCCACCCAACGTCGTGGTTGGTCCCCTACGAAACAACGGAGGTACATTTCTATGGTGTGATTGACAACCTCCGTTTGCCCGTCCGTCTGTGGATGATAGGCGGAAGATGTGTGTGAAAAAGGCGTGGGCCACAGAAACTGCACTGTAGGGGTGGGACAATGGAATGAAATGAGCATATTTGGAGAAGCGGTCCACCACTACGAATAAGATGGATTTCCCACCGACTTTAGGCAAGCCTTCAACGAAGTCCATAGAGATGTCGGCCCAGATCTACGTTGGGAGTGAAAGAGGCTGTAGGAGTCCTGCTGGGTGTAAGTTCTCCCACTTTTGTTGYTGACATACRGAGCARTTCTGGATGAAATCCCTAACCGAGCCTCGCATACCATGCCAATGAAAATCTGCACGGACGCGGTGTAATATCTTCTGAACCCCTTCATGGGTGGCGTTATGGATGCTGGTGAGGATGGCTGGAATCAAGGGACAATCTGTTGGGAGATATACCCTTCCTTTGTACAGCACAAGTCCCTCGTGGATGGTCTAGATTGGTTTGGTCGTGCCATACCGCAATTCTTGCACCAGGTCTCTCCAAGTTGGTGATTGGGGCAACACGCTCCTTAGGTCCTCCAGTAGGATCACGCGGGGCTGGGAGACCGCGCAGAGGTGTGCCGTGTCCTCTTCACGCCTGGACAGTGCATCAGCGGCCCGGTTAGAGGCTCCCGCCTTGTGGTCTACGCGGAAGTCAAACCCTAGCAGTTTGCTTGCCCAGTGCTGTTGGGGTGGAGTAGTAAGCCGCTGCTCTAGAAGGTACTTGAGGCTGTAGTGATCTGTCTTTACAACGAAGGGCCTGCCCCATAAATACGGCCTCCAGTGCTGGACGGCCTTGGCCAGTCTGATCAATTCACGCTCGTAGGCCGGTAGCTTGAGGTGCCGATCTGCTAGTTTGCGGCTGAAGAAGGCTATGGGGTGCTCTTGCTGTTGCAGCACTGCACCGATGCCTATGCCAAACGCATCACACTCCACCATAAATTCTTGGTCAAAGTTTGGTAGTTGCAGCACGGTGGTAGTGGAGAGTGCGTCCCTTAGGTTTGCGAAAGCGGTGTTAGCTGCTTCATCCCATTGAAATGCATTCTTCTTCAACATCTTGGTTAATGGGGCCGCGAGGAGTCCATAGTCCCTTACAAACTTGTGGTAGTATCCTGTGAGCCCCAAGAACCCGCGGAGAGCCCTAATGGTCTGAGGCTTGGGTCATTCCCGAATGGCTTGAATCTTGGAATTACCTACCGAGACTCCTTCCCTGCAGACTATATGGCCTAGGTAAAGGACCTGCGGCTCTCCGAAAGAGCACTTGGTTCGTTTTAGGAAGAGCTTGTGCTGTCGTAGTAGCTCCAGAACTGTCCTTAGGTGACAAACGTGCTCCACCCACGACGTACTGTAAATTAAGATGTCGTCGAAAAATACTAGGACGAACCTGCGGAGGTGGGGCCGAAATACCTCGTTCATCAGGGCCTGAAATGTAGATGGGGCATTGGTGAGACCAAAAGGCATGACCAGGAATTCAAAGTGGTCGTGATGCATTCGAAAGGCTGTTTTCTCCACATCTTTAGGGGCCATCCGGACCTGGAAGTAGCTTGACCTGAGATCTAGCTTAGAAAAGTACTGAGACCTGTGGAGCTCATCTAGCAATTCATCTACCACCGAGATCGGGAACTTGTCCTTGATGGTTCTATTGTTGAGCTCCCTATAGTCCACACAAAATCTCCAGGTGCCGTCTTGCTTTGGCACCAACAAGACTGGTGAAGAGAATGGAGAGCGGCTGGGGCGTATGATTCCCTGTTCCAGCATCTCTGTACACTGCCTTTCTATCTCGTCCTTCTGTAGGTGCGAGTAGCGGTACAGCCTCACGACAACGGGTCCTACCCTGGTATTAAGGGAATCCGGTGGTCACACGACCGGCCAGGTGGAAGGCCCTTGGGCTCTGAGAACACGTCTGAAAAATCGGCAAGAAGCCTCTCCATCTCTATAGTGTGCAAGGCATTGCCATGGAGAGTATGCACCTGTGGTTTTCTTGCTCTCATCTTGGTCCCTTTTCAGGTGACCTGTTTCCCATGTAAGTCAAACGTCATGGTCAAGGCACTGAAATTCCATAGGATAGGGTCGAGGGTGATGAGCCACTTGATTCCCAACACTATGTCAAACTCGTCTAGGGTCAGTACAAATAGATCTGCGAGGAATGGTTCAAAATCCACCTGGATTTAGACGCTTCGGCAAATCCCTGGACTATGAACTCTCTCCCCATTTGCTATAGCCACCTGGAGCCGCGGTCTGTCTTCCATTGGGAGCTTCAGTTGGAGCGCAGCCTGCTTGCTGATAAAGTTGTGAGTGCTCCCTGAGTCAACCAGAATCCGTACCTATTTTCCTGCCACTTGGGCCTGCAGCTACATGGTTTGGGAGTTTTAGATTCCAATGATGGCATGGAGGGAGATCTCGAGTTCTAGTGCCGCATGTTCCTCTTCTTCCTCCTCTAGCTCGTCTACTAGAAGGAAGAATAACCGCTTGCAACAGTGGCTGGCTGAGTACAACTCGTCACAATTGAAGCATTGGCCCTTGGCTCGGCGCTCGGTCATCTCGGCCCTGGATAAGCGTCTGATGGGAGGTGTTGTCGTGCTACTACCCATGCTAGTTGCAGATCGGGTAGTGTTGCTGGTGAAAGGGCGTTGTTCCCTATTGGCAGCCATCAACGGCCCTCCTGCGGTAGACCTTGGGTTCGTCCAAGTCATTGCGGGACGCCCCATGCTAGACGGCCCTCAGCTGATCTGCAGTTTGCGCTCGAAGGCTCGGGCCAGATTCATTGCKGTGACCAAGTTGGGTGGGCTCTACATCTCCACATCAACTCTCAGAGGTTCAGATAGGCCGGTTGTGAACATATCCACCTGTTAGTCTGGCCGAACTGAAGAGGCTCTGGTGAGAAGGGTCTAAAACTGCCGCTGATACTCCACGACGGTCCCGGTCTGCTTGAGGTTAATGAGCTCCCCCAAGGGGTTGCTTGTTAATGGGGGTCCGAACCAGAGGAGGCAATATGACTTGAACTGGTCCCAACTAAGGTCTGGTTCTTCCTGCTCCACTCGGTAGAACCAGAGCTGTGCTTCATCGGTCAAGTGGAATGCTGCCAGGCTGACCTTGTCCTTCTCTTCCGTGCGTTGATTACGGAAGAATTGCTCACAGTGGTACAGCCATCCAAGTGGGTCACCGCTGCCGCTGTATGAGGGGAACTCCAGATGACTGTATTTGGGTATGACTGCTGTTGTTGGGGTGTCGTTCTGTCGTTCACCGGAGCCCTTTGCCCGATCTGGGTGGCGGTTGTTGTTGGTGGCTGCCCCTTCAGGGCTCCTTTCCTTGGTGGAGAAGTATAACTCCAGTAGACGCCGAAGTTCCCTGACGTCCTCTTTAACTTCTCTTACCTCCACGTGATTTTCCACGAGACGGTGTTCCAGCTCGTGAACCTTGGATGATAGCTGCTCCACGTTGCCCATGACACTTGGCTCTGATACCAAAATGTTATGGGCTCGGGCGTAGGATCTCATCATGGGGCGGTTTGTGGGGGAAACTCATTGCCTTCCCTTGCCCTTCCCTTTGCGAGTTGACCCTATGATGGCAAACTGAGGGGGGTGATTTGTTCAAGAGACCACCCGAACTCTCCTCACTCTTTTCTTGACTGGAAAACTAAATACTTTATTTCAATTCGTGGCTCCTTAAATAGGAAATTACAGAAGGAAATTCCTAATTAAATTCAAACTCCAACTTGAACTCAAACTACTAATTACCTACTCCTAATGGTAATACAATTCTTACTTAAGATAGGGATAAGGATAAGATAAGATAAGGGATAAGAGATAAGGAAGGCTGGAGGCGAGTTCTCTTAACGTGTCCAGATAAGGGTGAGCCCACCCCTATGAGCTGTCGTGTGGGCCCCGCTCTGCTGCTGCTACCGGGTGCGTGCGTGCGGCTCGTGGTGCCGCCGTCGCGCGGTGCCGCTACTGCGCAGTGCGTGTGTGCGGTGCCGCTACCGCGCAGTGCGTGCATGTGGTGCCGCTGCCGCGCAGTGCGTATGCACGGCTTATGGTGCCGCTACCGTGCGGTGCTGATCGTGTGTGCGATGCTACCTCTGCTGCTGTCGTATGGTGTGGGTGCTCATAACACTACCTTTCATCACATTGTAAGGACAAGAAGTGAAAAGTTGTTGAAAATAGTTTGACAATCACCCGCTCAAGTCTCAAACTCCCATTTTGAGCAAGCATGATCCTTTTTCACTCGGCCATTAGCTTTCTCCTCGTAAGAAGTTACCTCATTGAAGTCGCCAAGGACCACCCAAGGCACTCAAAAGTCAAAAGAGTTCTCTAGATCGATTTCTTCCCATATGACACACACCATAAAGTTCAAAAGGGGCACCATACACAAAAGTTGCATGCCAATTAAATAGAGTGAAGGCTAAAGAAAGTGGAAATCAATAATTTTGGGAGATGAAGAAATGAATTCAACATTAATCTCTTGCTTCTAGCTAGGCAACTAAGATAGCTCTAAACAAAACAAATCAATAAAACCACATTTTGCTAAAATTAGCTTTAAACAAAGAGAGCTAACTTTTGTTTCAATGACAAAGGTTAATTAAAACAAGATTGTAGGTTCTCAAATGCACGAATTGTCGGGGCCTGCCCCAAACCTCGGTAATTCTAGACCAAGAGATTCATGGTTCAGCAACCTTGGGCTTCTTCCAAATTTCCATATCTCTTTACAATGAAGCTTTGTTTTCTCTTTTCAAATGGAAATTTGTTCTTGGCCAAGGGCCGAAAGCACCAAGGAAAAATCTACATTTCCGACCTCCATTTTCATCATTCATCATTGCTTGTGTCATTCTCCTCTTATTCTTCATATGCTTTGATTTTAACTGGGGGCTCAGGCTAAAGTTTCTCATCAAGAACCCCATAGTTTTAACAAAACAAAAAGATGGAAGTTGCTCATACTTGAATGAACTCAATCCATAGTGGTTCTCTGTTTCTTCTCTGAAAATGGTAACCGGCTTTGGTTGATTGATTGATGTTTATCTAAACTCTTTCCCAGATAAAAGTTGGTTTGGGGCTTTGGATCTTGATCACCTTCCTGGATAGCTATACTTACAAACTTTTCATCCGTAGACTCCAACATCTGATTTAGAGGCAAACTGTGGATTTGCGTCTACAAGCAACAGTAGCTAAGGTCCATTTCACTAAGGCTCAGTTTAGAAAGAGTATAAATACAAATATATATATATATATATATAGTACAAATACATACAAAATAATACAAAATGTAAGGTTTTGCACTCACATATTCATTTATATTTGTACTCCTTCCAAACTGACCCTAACTCCCAAATCAGACTCATAAACATTACAGAGTATTAAGTTATTCATGAAAGTCCAGGGGTTCTTTCCACAAACTCTCTCCTCTCCTTCATATTAGCAAAAAGGACTAGAAAACGATCATGGATAGTATCACAAACCTCAAAATCTTTTGTAGAGCTCTAATCATGGTTTTTAAAATCGGACTGGACCGGATGGTCAGACCAGAAAAACCGGGAACCCGTCACCTGACCGGTTCCGTTTTTCTCCAAAACCGTTGATTTTGATCAGCAAACCGTTGAACCGGCCGATTAACTGTTTGAACCGTTTGAACAGTTTTAACCGTTTTTCAATTTTTTTAATTTTTTTGTCAGAATGAACCGACCGTTTGGATCAAACGGTCAGACCGTTCGAACCGGTAACTGGACCCCTGACCGGTTCAGTCACTGATTCGTTTTCAAAAACCATGGCTCCAATAGAGTCCTATTCCATTAATTATGTTATCCATGATTCTTCAATAGAGTCCTATTCCATTATTTCTTTCATTTGATCCATTCGAGAGGGAAAGACAAAACGAAACTTACACAATGGAACACCAGTAAGAGGAAATGTCCCAAGGGACAAAGAGGAACTTTACAATCCTATCGAGGGAAAGGAAGGATCCTTATATCAGAGTACTGATTTTTCAAGAATCAATTGTAGATCTTGCATACCCATAATGGTATTTTCTCCAATGTCTCTTTGATCCTATCACAAGCACACAATAGGTATTTTCTCCAATGTCTCTTTGATCCTATTACAAGCACACAATAGTGGCTTCACTACTAACTTATTGGATGAAGCTAAGGAGGTTGTTGGAAAAGATACATTCCCAAAATACCCTCTTGGAAGAGGGGGTTGGTTTTTATATAGTTGTGAAAATCCGCCATTGATAATAGTTTGGTGAGTTTGATCCTTACATGCTTTACAAGTACACCTCTACATGTCCACTAATGGCTTCAAAATGACTATATGCCCGCCTACAGCCAGCCACCCATTGCATTGCGCTCGGGTTCGAGACGACCTTCATCGATTCAAAGCAAACGTCAGCACTAGCTTAAAGAATCTCTAATGGTTTTAAAAGAAAAATCAATGGAGCCAATAATATGTCAATAAAGTAGCTAATGACAAATTTTTTCCATCTTCCTAAAATTCAAAACCACACTTTGACATATAATCATGGTTTTTAAAATCAGACCGAACCGAAAAAATCAGAAACCGATCGGGTGACCGGTTTCGTTTTTTTTCAAAATTGAATATTTACAAAAAAATATTGATTTGGTCAGCAAATCATTAACTCGGGCGATTGAACTGTTCAACCCGTTTAATGATTTTGACCTTTTTTTATTTTTTTGTTAAAATGAACCGATTATTCGGTTCAAACGATCATATCGATTGACCTAAGAACTGGACCCTTGACCGGTTCAATCTCCAAATCAATTTTAAAAACCTTGATATTGATATTCAAGATTTCAAGCATTTAAAGAGACATGTAATGGAAAATGTGTTGCACCAAATCCTTGTACACGAGCTTGCGTCGCTACCACCATCAACCCAACACATTAAGCAGTTCAAATGGTGTTTTGAATTTGGAACAAATAGTTAACATGTTTATAATTTGTTAGACGAATCTAAGAAAATGCTGAAATGTAGTTGCTAGGCAGGATTACAAATTTACACCGGGCCCATGTTAAAGTTTGGGTCCAATGAGCCCAAGATCGTGATGAATGGTGGTAATGTATCATGGGTAGAGAATAGGTGACAGGATTCTCTACAAGCATAAAATCTACACAAATTGTGAAAACATGTGAATCTTGCTACACATTTGGAACACCTCGCCATGAATTTAACACATTGGTCAATTTAAATTTTATATTTTATTTTCTTTATTAATGAAAACAATTCTTATTTATCACACTTATTGTTTTTTATAGTAAAGTACTTTTGTGAAAGCATTTTTATAAAAGTACATTTATGATAGCATTTTTATAAAAGTACTTTTATGAAAGCACTTTTAAGAAAGTACCTTTATGAAAAAAGTGCTTTCTTAAAAGTACTTTTATAAAATCAATGAGAGATATTTTTATAAGTGGTATTTTAAAATTCAACTAAGGATAATTTTGGAAGAAAAAAATTGAATAAGTACTTTTTTGTATAAATACTTAAAAAAAGCTGGAAATTTGGGCTTAACAAATAAGCTCTTATTTTTAAAATAAACATTTATTTCAGGCTTATTTTCCAAATACCTATAAGTGCTTAATGACCCAAATAAGCACTTATTTTTAAGTACTCCCAGACCTGGCCTTACAAGGGTTTGAGGGAACTTTCATGTTTCGTTTTCTAGATGTACATAAAGCGGTAATCTTAGCAGAATAGTTATGTAATTTATTTATGTTAATTATTTGTTGTGTTTTTTGTTTTAAATTTCCAAAACGAGTTTCTCATCTAGGGCTTCAAGAGTTACTGAGAACAAATTGCTACCGAACCATTCAAGATCACAGTGACACTTCTACTAAAGAGACAAAAATAACTAGCTGTCTTTCCTTTTGAAATTGAAAACAAAACGAATGTATGGTATATTTTGAAAATTTGAAAGAAAATAAAGAACAAAAAAATCATAAGTTCTTGAGAGAAAAATCATCAAATGACTAATATGAAATAAGTACTTAATTCTTAAGAAACTGGGTGCCAAATACAAATTAGTTAGTCGAATAAACGCTTGTTTTTAAACATTTACTTTTAACATAAGCACTATGACCTAAAACCAACTGACCTGAGTGAGCCAACCTCAGACCAACTATCCTTGATACCAGTTCACAACGCATGCACCTAATCAACTTAGGAAGCATGGCACGCCTCAGGAGGTAACCTTGTCTTTTCATAGACATTTCTCCTTGGAGGACACAAGGGAAATTTCCCTCTAGCAGTTAATGGTGAGTTCGCCTCTGCCCTCTGCCCTCTGCCCTCTGCCCATTATGGGCTATGGCCTTGGTCGGGCATTCCACCTCATTTAATACTTTTAGGTAACTCCCGATCATGTCCACGTGAATATTAGTTATTATTCATAGGAGATGCTCTCAAATCCCAATGTGCGATGGATGTGCATGTAAGGCGCA